CCTCAGAGTATTGCTATTTACCCAGCCACTGACACCAGACACCTGGGAGTTAACCTTCTTGCCTCTCCTGCTTTGCTCTCTCTATCCTCCGAAATCACTAAGTACTTTTTTTTTTCTTTTTTGAGACAGGGTTTCTCTGTGTAGCTTTGGAGCCTATCCTGGCACTTGCTCTGGAGACCAGGCTGGCCTCAAACTCACAGAGATCCACCTGCCTCTGCCTCCCGAGTGCTGGGATTAAAGGCGGGCACCACCAACTATGTACTTTTGAGTCTATGTTTATAAATCTTTCCAGTCCTTCCCCATATTCCCATCTGCACTACTGCAGCTCTACTCAAGGCCTTCAAGTCTATGATAGTTTAAATTTTTTTTAACTTATTGTATATGTGTGTGTGCTGGCTTGTGCCAGAAGAGGGTATCAGATTCCCTGGAGCCAGAGGTGCATGAGGGTTGTGAGGCATGTAGTTGGGGTACTGAGAGCTGACCTAGGGTCCCTGCAAGAGCAAGTGTTCCTAACCACTGAGACATCTCTCTTTTCCTGATATTTTTACTGCTGTGAAATTAACAAAATTTGCAATGTCGGTTATTTTTAATTTTAAAGTTCAGATGTAGAACTCTCTGGGAGTCTTCAGGCTAAGGAACCATCTTACTTGTAGGTGAAGGTAATCTCTGGCCATTCTTTCTATCTTAGATGAATCAGTGAGCTCTTGGTTCAGTGAGGGACCCTGCCTCAAAAAATAAGGTGGAAAAATGGAGGAAGATTTTCAGTGTCAACCTCTAGCCTCCACACACATGCAAGCATGTTGCCCATGTGTACACATGCACACACATATACATAAAGCAAAAGTAATTAAAGTTGACCACCATTTAAAAGTCTAAGTAGGAAAAATAGTCATAATAGTAAAGGAAATTTAGTAAGAGCCTGAGGATAGAAGAGTTTGCTTTGAAATTGTGTCTCCTGGGAATGTCAGAAGCCACTCAAATCATAGCCTCATGAGTTGTTGGGATTATTGGAATGTTGCCACCAGGCTTAGCTTGGGTTCCAATTTAGAACATAATTTCCATATTAATCAATAAGAGTATGAGAATTCTTACTGTATCTGGTCTTAGAGAATGAGTTCAAGCCCAACCTGAGCAACTAGTGAGACCCCACCCAAAATAAAAAGTAAAAGGATCAAGTGTATCCTGCTTACAGAGCATTTGCCTAAAGATCTGGGGGGTGTATCCCGCATACAGAGCATTTGCCTTGCTTTTGCAAGGCCCTGGACTCAGCCCTAGTACTGAAGGGGGAAAAGTGGTTCCTATGTGCAAGCTATTTACCTGAATACAAGTGAGCTAATTTTGAGGAATTTGTTCTGTCATTCTTATCTGTCCCTTTGCAATAAATTATCCAGTTAATAATAGCAAATCAATCACATAGCAATTGAGACAGAATGCAGAAGGGCCTTGGTGATTCTTTTCAACCGTAACACTTCGGAAAGATGAGGGACTTGGGTGATCAGGCCCAGCATTACATCCCAACTCCAAAGCCCACTAGCTGCTGCATGGTGCTGATCTAGTTCCCCTTAGGAGCCTTTGTTTCTGCCATCTGATTATAATGTCTTCTCCATAGAGTTATAGTGAACATTAAATACATGAATAAATGACTTCTCAAGACTTCTTGGCACAAAGGCATTACTCGTTTACTATTACATACAAAATACATCACAGGATTCATTCATAGTAAACATAGAAGCAACACACATAAAAATGATAAATAACTTATAGATTATAATTTTAGGGAAAAGTTAATTCCATTATACTGCATATGTAAATATATATAACTACAAAGAACAGATTAAATTCATAATTGGAAAAATAGGATCTCTACCAAAATAGTTGTAAATTTAGTTTTCAAGTTGTATAGAAATTCCATTAAAACAAATAATAGATGCTAACCATGTATTATGTCCTAAGTGAATTAGCATGAATTACTTTTTTGCAAAGTGTTCATGCTAAAACAAGTTAAATGTGCCAGCAAATTCTTTTCTAGTTTGACTTAGGAGAGAGGTGTAATAACCCTACAAAGACAGATTATCCATTATCATGTGATCTGAAATTTATAGGATTCTGGTAACATAAATATCAGAAAAAATGTCTCTAAGCTAAAAAGAAGGAAGAAGGTCCAGATTTATCACCATTTATCTCACAGCCAATATGAGACTTTTTATCAGTTCTTCGGTCACTTCATGTGGAAATCTTAAAAGTCCTAGTCCTCACTATAGCCATTTCCTATCCCATGAAACCCTCATATATTATTGGTTAATACTAAACAGTTGGGGCCTATTTTAGTGAGCTGCATGATATTTTTAAAAATAGAATGGTAAAGACTAGCCTACAGGCAAATCCTGTAAAATGTTCCACCTTCCTGTTGGCACAGCCTCTCATTGGCAGGTGTAGTCCATTCCCTACAGGAAGAAATAGGTGCTTCATTGTGTTTCAGAAGACAGTGCAGTTTTACAAAATGGAATAATTGACATTTTTCTCATTTCTGAGATCAAATTTTCATAAGCCATTCAACCTGGATAAGCTGAGAATGTGGTTGATGTACTAATTGTTGAAATATGGTAGAGACATTGCAGAACATGATATTTTAGCATTTCTTCCCAACCTCTTACCTTAGCAAGGTATCTGAATGTGTAAAGAGGAAAGACGAGTAAGACAAGTTGTCTATAAAGAAAATGCCAAAAAAAAAAAAGTACAGCATAGATCTGTGTGAGCAATTTGCTATCCTGCTGAGTCTGGCTTTATAATGATAGTAATAGCAATACATTGTAGAACTTACTTTCATTTTTATCAGAAACTTTTCTTACGACTTAGTATTATGAATGATATGGGCAGGGATATATTTTGTTAACTGAAAAACAGTATTTTATGTTAATAATGGCTTGAAATATTAATAGTTCACTAAGATTTCTCCTGGGAATTATCTGTTATGAGTTGGTTCAAGGCCCTGGATTTTAGTTCAGTGATACAGCACTTGCCTAGCATGCTAAAGAACCTAGATTTGATCCTAATATGGCCCCAAAAGAAGTTAGTTTAAGTTGTAACTGGATATTTACAATAAACTTTCAGTGGTATACCCCCTTCCACAATTCATGTTAATAAAACTTTGCCTTAAAAGATCTATGTACTCCCATCAGTCATAATCGTCAAGAGTTTATCAGGTAGGTCTGCTTCACCACTCGGCAGTGTCCAACTAAAACAGGCTAATCTGTGAATGCAATGGATTTTTCCATGAATTTTCTAGTTCAGGTATTTGTACCCCTAGACTGTTGTTAGTGGCTCTACATGACCCACATTTAATTATACAGCTGAAAAATATACTAATAAACTTAAGTAAGGTTTACATTTCTCTCTGAGACTATTGCTCCATTTCTTTCTTTTTCTTTTTTTTTTTTTATTAGTTCAAATTAGGAACAAGCTTGCTTCACATGTCAATCCCTTCTCCCTCTCCCTCCCCTCTTCCCAACTCCCCACCAGCCCCCAGCCCCCTCCTCTCCTACCCTCCATGGGGCTCCCCAAATTCCACAACATCATTCTGGGCGGGGCTAAAAGCAAAACTTCCAAGGTTCTGGGTGTTTGTTTCATGGCCCTCATCGCTGATAGCAAGATTCTTGCTGTGTGCCATCATCCAATAAATGTGCTCTGATGTCCACAGCTGTGTGCAGTTGATTTCTCTATTCCCCTACTGCACTCTCAAACAGGCTTTAGTGCCTTGCTCTGTGCTTTGTTTATGTGTGTAGGGCCATATAAATGAGGCACTCTGGAGCAGAAGAGACTGTTGCTCGCTGGTCTTTGTTTAGGGAACACAAAACCATCGGTTCTCATTTATAAAGAAGGTTTTTTCCTATATTGGCATTAAGAGAGAGGTTTTGAGTTTTTGTACTTCAAGAAAAGGAAAGAAAAGAAAAGAAAAGAAAAGAAAAGAAAAGAAAAAAAACTAAACTACTGTTCTGACTGCATCATCTTGTGTTAAGCAAAGCTAGCTGGTCTACATGAATATGCTTTTTCTCCATACAGTAGCCAAAGAGCACTACAGAATGGATGTCTGAACTTTAGGTGGTGGTCAGTTTCATTAGCAGGTTTTTAATCAACTGAAAAGATCATATACAAAAAGCATGTATATAAGGTATTCCTAGGCTGTACTACTCAGAGTAGAAACTTTAAAAAATTTATTTAGCACTGGAAGTCTGATTGTATCAGTATCAAATCACATGTGTGTTTTATTCCCATGCTACTAGAACATTAAATTTTTCAAGTCTTACAGGGGAGGGCCTAGGCCCTGCCCAAAATGGTATGACAGACTTTGATGATCCCCCAGGGGAGGCCTCACCCTCCCTGAGGTGTGGATATGGGGTGGGATGGGGAGTTGGGGGTGGGGGATGGGAGTGGGAAAGGGAGAAGGAACTGGGATTGGTATGCAAAAATGATTGTTTTAAATAAAAATAAATTTTAAAGTTTTCATGTCGTTATCCTATTCAGCTGACTGTGAAAAAGAAAGGAATTTGGTGTGCAAATGTTGGGCTGTATACCAACTAATGCACCATTTGTTTAGCTAATAACATCTCAGTCTGCCTATATGTCTGTATGGAAGGATGTGTTTCTCCTATAGACATCTGCTTGAAGCTGATCTTTGCTTGATAGGCCATCTTGTCTTTCCACAGTAGATAATTCATTCACAACTTTTATGCAAGTGTATAAATGTATTCAGATGAGTGGTCTGTATATCTTGTGTAACATCTAACTATCATAATCAAGGATCTGAGTTAAAATCTATGGTGTACTGTTTTTAACCTCAAATTCTTAGCACTCTGTGTGTCTCTCACCTACAGCAATGCTTGTTTCTTGGCATGACTACCATTGCCTTAGTCACAGGCACATACTGTTCTTTGTAGCCAGAATATTCTTGCTAATAATTGCACTTTTCTTTTTCTTTTTCTCTTTCCCCTGCTCCACCTTAGGTTAGAAAGGCTGGTGGATGTCCTGAGGAAGAAGGTTGGAACAGGGGCTGTGAGGACAGTGATCTGACTGAAAAACACCCAGTCTGGGGCAAGCAATCACATCTGGTGGCCAGGCTGCTTCATTCAACACTGTGTAAACACTAAAAGCCTTAACTTAGCAAACAGTTGTTAGAAGTGGGACACTCCAACCACATTCCAAGCTGAGATAAAATCAAATCACAAATGTTTAACCACTTTGCTGCTAACTTCGGTTATTTATCCAAATATATTAACTATAGGCTTTTACCAATTATATAATGTTGCAGCTTATTTTGTAGATATTTTGTATTTGTGCCTTTAATGTAATTCTTTTTGCCAGTGTACTATAAAAATGTGTGAAGTCGGTCAGGATCGTACCCTCACATATGGCCCTTTCTGAATCAAAGTGCAGCAAAGCAAATATTGTCTAAGCCTTAATCCACTGTGTTAGGTCAAAACTTCAAATAAATGCGTTTTCAGTATAGAGTATATTTCTTAACTGATGGAAGAAGCTCAGACATGAGAGAATGTAGCCCACCTTCAATGTATGTATTCAGCTTTTGTTCTTAAAATTGAAGAATATTAAGTATAGATGCCATGAACTGAGTGTATAATTTGCTTTACTTGTACATTAAGATGGCAGTCACTAAGGCATGATTTTTGTTTCACTACAGAGAATATACACTGTTTTCAATAAAAAGGTTATTAATGGACACTTGTTTCACTATAGATAGTATATATTGTTTGCAGTAAGAGGTCATTAATGTGCACTTATGCATATATATTATTGGTATTTTTTAATGTTGAGTCTAGGTAATTATCTAAGCGTCACTTAAACTGTAGAAATAGCCAAGTTCTGCTCACAGTCTGGGACACTTGGGCTTGAAAATTAGCATGTGCCAGTCAGCGTGTCTGTCCTAAAAGGCAAGAAGACATCAAAAGTAAGAAGACATTCTTACTATTTTTAAATATTGTTTTTGGTATGTTGGAAGAGATCTTAGTATATAATATACAAAAAATATAGGGTCAAAATATGAGGACTTAGAAAAAAGCTTCCTTGCAATTTGGTTCCAGTTATCCACTTTTGAATTTATTTAAGACATAACTTAAAATAATGAAAGCACAGCAGCCACTTCTCATCATAGATGTTATGAATATTTATGGATAATATTGTCAGTTTTGCAGATTAGATAGCTAAAAGGCCATACCCAGAACAGGATGAAATGAACAAAAAATATTGAGTTAGTGAAAATTTTATAGTCAGAAACTTTTTTATGTTCCTAATTGATATATAAATAAGAATGAACTAAATTATTTATCATTTCCTGTTTACAGGATAAATATATTCAGAATGATATACTAAACCATTCTTTCATATACCATTGGAAAATACCCAATTTATGCATCTTTTGACACTGTAGAATATTTTGAGACCCTTTGTCATAGATGAAATATGAACCAGAATACTAACATGCTCCATTTCCTCCTTACTACATCTGTAAAATGTAGTAAGCTAACAGATCATTAGAATCATCTCACTGCATTCAAATTTGAAATGCACTCATGTTGCATGTTCTTACTGATTTTTAAACTATGAGAATTAGAAGATAAATGATAGCAGGTATTAAAAATTAGCTAAATTGTGGCTGTCTGTCCCATGGTCACAGAGAGCATCACCATCTCTGATAGACCAGTAACTACTTCCACATGAAAGCTAGTGCTTCAGTCGCTCCCGTGGGCTCTATGACAACACCCTGTATGAAGACACAGGATCTCTAAAGTTACCCGGGGTGCAAGTAAGTAAAGGGAATATCCATTCCTGACTGCTCTGAACACAATCACAGGTAAAGCTGAATATTCAGTTTGGTCTTAAAAACAGACTCTTTCCTTAAGTTATTTACTCTGCAGTCTTAGAACACACAGGGAGAAATAGAAACATTTTACAATGTCCAAACATCACATAGAGCAACTGGTTCCTGGACAGTTGCACAGAGCCAAGTATTACAAAATGAAACTCAAAGAACTGTTCTGACACCAATTGTTGTTGAGTACAGGTGTCCCAAAGCATTTAGAACCAGCCCAGGCTACTTCTGTCTTGATCTCTCACTCATCATTGCTGGCTTTGTACGAAGGAGGAACCACTAAGGACCAAGCTGCCTGCCACTTACTGAGAAGAAGCACAACTGCAATGTTCTGCAATGTTCCCTTTTAAGCATTACCAAGTCTGTTCCTATAGCCTGAGAGCTCCCTTCTTAAAAACTCAGCAAACTTTAAAGAAAAGACTACTGTTAGTCATAGCACTTGATCTGCAAAATCATCATTTGACATTTTTTAACTCTACCAACAGCCACATGGTAATTATACAGGTTTTAGTATTGGCTCTATTGTTTTATGGAGATATTACATTGATTCTAATGAGGAAATAAATAAAAGTCCTCTTGGAACTTCCCAAGGACTGAGGCCTTAGAACTAACTAACCCCCATTAAATTATAGCTCTCTCAGCCTCTCTGTAAGAAAAAGCATAGTAAATATTTTTAGTTTTCATTTTTTCAGTCATTTATTAATTCTTTGATCATTTCCTACAATGTATTTCAATCATATTTACCCCTAACTCCTCCCAGATATTCTCCCCCACAACCCTACCTACACCAAGTTGGGATCCTTTTTTCTTTTCTCCCCCACAACCCTACCTACACCAAGTTGGGATCCTTTTTCTTTTTAATTTAATAACCCAGCAACCTCAATTTGTGCTCTCCGTATAACTATTCATGTAGGGCCATCCGCTGGAGCACAGCAAAGATTTCAATGTCTGCTACTAGAAAGATGTCTTAGTCGTCAAGTCACTTACTGCTCTTGCGCAAAACCCAAGGTTGATCCCCAGCACCCAGATTAGGTGCCTCATAACTGCTTAAAACTCCAGTCTGGGGGATACAACCCCCTCTGACCTCCATAAGCACCTGTATGCACACAAGACACATACAACTCAAGTAGGCACACACACAGCCATAAATAAAAAAATAATAGGGCAGCAATTAAAAACTATGCTTGAAAGATACATTTTAAACTCTGCTGCTATTGTTCCATTTCCTCTTTACACATATGCATGCATTTTTTAGTAATCTAGAGGATGGATGGATAGATAGATAGATAGATAGATAGATAGATAGATAGATAGATAGATAGATAGATAGATAGACAGATAGATAGATAATCTTTCTATGCACTTCAACATGATTACACACATCAATCCCTTTATATTATTGTCATCTCTGCATGTACTTTGGTAGGCAGAAGTTATTCTGAACTGTTTTTAATTTGGTCTGTTACCAGACACCAAACACCGCAGGGTTATAACATGGTAGAATATGTTTCCATGCACACTCTGCTTCCTACAGCATGTATTTGATAAATACATAGGCAAAGTAATAGGTTACAAGCAACTTATAAGCAATAACTTTGATTTTTATTAAATAAGCTATTATGTTTAAGGTAATTAAAATATTAAAAAGTACTTTATGAAATAAATATTTTAAGCTTCTATTTTATGTATTTCATTATCCAAATAAAATGAAGAGTCTTCTTACTGGGTCACTTACTAATGGAGTGTGTTTATTTCACACACACACACACAAAAAAAAACAGATTTAAAAAAGATTTGTAGCTTTAATATGAAAAGGGCTACATAGAAATCCACTTGTATACAGTTTTTAGAAATTATAATAACTTCTTGAAGTTTCCACCTTAAAATAGTGATCACACACAAGGCATTATATGATAAAATAACTATGACAGATACTCAGTTATCTTACATGTGGTTTGAATGATGCACTGATTTTTCACATAAAATAGTGTGTTCTTGGTAACTGGTTTACAGCTAACCTCCATATTCGCATATTGCATAGGTAACCACAGATACATAAAAAACACATTTGCCTCTTTAAATTTGATTTGTTAAGTCAGATGTTAGGCTCCAGTGACTTCAGCATTTTGTGCATGTTTTATTGGAAGTGCATGTGGTTTCTGGGGTTTTTAAACAAATACATGAAATGGTTGAAAGATTTATATTGCCCATGCTTAGCTAAATATGTCATCTCTAGAAAGATGTGATTTATTTTGGCACTATTCTGAAACTCAAATATTTTAAACATTTGTTGAGTTGGAGCTTGCACATTTGAACTAGTAGCATACGTTCCAAACTAGCATCTCAAGTTACCAAAAGTTTTGTAATCCTTTTACTGAAATAGCCCTTACTGAAAAGATTTTCTCTTTACTGTGTTCTTTAGTGTGAGTTTACATTTACAGAGGTTGAAGTTGTTTTTCATGTAGGCTTCACAAATAGAGTTTGACAATGACAAATGTGTATTTTTAAGGATCATTAAAATGATTTTTACTAATGAGAAGCCTTTGCAGAAACTGCAATACACTTGCTCTTGAGTCTTGTTTTCTAGTGTGTTTTCAGAAGGTGCTGGTGCTTTGCAAGCCACCGGTTTAATTATCCAGTTATTAACAAGGACATATTTTAATGCACCAACTCAAGTATGTAAAACTTGTATTTACTTTTTATTCACATAAAATCTCCTATCTCAAATCCTGCATGTTTCAGTACAGTTCCTACATGTTGACCCTAATCAAATTTATAGGTGTACCATCCTGAAGACATTGTACTAGATGTACATTATGAAATATATGGTAGTGAAGAAGATCAAGTTTCCATCAAACTTTATTATTTCCTTGATAAAGATTAAAGCTGATATGAGCAAATGTAATAGGAACCCTATGAGCCTCTCAAAACTATTTGAATCTAAACTGAAGTTCCTCTCCACTCAGAGTGTCTCTGCAGCTGCTGCATAAGTGGAACTACCATGGTGCCTGAGATCCCACAGCAGGCCTCTTCCACCAGGGTAGTGATCCCAGCTACTCTTCTGTGGGCCAAAAGTTTTGCCCTTGAGTTGTCCTTGTCAAATGTCTTGTTTGGTTCTTTGTGTGGCATTTTGTGCCTTTCCTTTGGCAAAATCTGTGGTCAGTGTATATGCATTTGTATGTATTTTTTTCTTAAGAAACATGCTTTCTTGTAGATGACCCCGAGTAAGACTCCTAGCAATAGTGGATATGTAGCCTGAATTGTTGGCCATCTCCTATCATCAAACTGGAGACTACCCCATTTGTCATCAGAGAGCCTTCATCCAGTAACTGGTGGGAACAGATGCAGAGGCCCACATCCTAGCACTGGACCAAGCTCAGGGAATCCTTTTGAAGAGAGGGAGGAAGGATTGTATGAGCCAGGGGTGTCAGAGTCATCACAAGGGAACCCACAGAAACAATTAACCTGGGCTCATAGACGCGCACAGAGTATGGACAGCTAGGGAGCCTTCATGGAACCAACCTAGGCCCTTTCATAGAGGTAAAGTTGTGTAGTTTGTTCTACTTGTAGGACTCCTAACAGTGGGAGCAAGAGCTGTCCCTAATGATTTGGCTGGCTCTTGGGAACTTATTCCTTATACTAGGTTGCCTTTCCCAGCCTTAATACAAGGGATGGAGCTTAGTCCTACCTCAACTTGATATGCAATGCTTTGTTGACCATCTGCAGGAGGCCTGCCCCTTTCTGAACAGAAACAGAAGAGGAGAACATGGGGAGTGGGGGAGGGAATGAGAGGAGAGGAGGGTGGGGATACTGGGTTTAGGATATAAAATAAATGAATAAATATAATTAAAAAAAACTTGCTTTCACTGTTTCTGCTACAAAATATAGTAATGGAGATAAAGGGTAAATTTCCAAGCATGCCTACTAAGTCATTAGAGCTCTCAGGAAGAAAAAAATCTATCCAAATGTAAAATAAGTTATGGTAGTAAAATATTAAAGGGAAATATTTTCATTAGATTTGGAAAAATGCCTAATATCATGTAATAGTTCTATTTCCAACTTTCTGATTCCCATACTGGCTGCACTAATTTGCACTCCCACAATCATTGCACAATATCATGTCAGCATTTGTTTTTGTTTAGGTTGTTTTTGTTGTTGTTTGGTTTTTGTTTTTACTTAGCCATTCTAACTAGAGTTAAGTTGAAATCTTGAAGTTTTTATTTGTATTTTCCTGATGGATAATGATATTTAATATTTTTTAAAATGTATTTCATGTTTTGTGAACTCTGTTTCTTATGCATATACCCAAAGGACTGTATATCCTACTACAGAGATAGCTACTCATCCATGTTCTTTTTTTTAAGATTTTATTTATTTATTATGTATACAACATTCTGCTTCCATGTATATCTGCACACCAGAAGAGGGCACCAGAGCCACCATGTGGTTGCTGGGAATTGAACTCATGACCTCTAGAAGAGCAGCCAGTGCCTTTAACCTCTGAGCCATCTCTCCAGCCCTCATTCATGTTCTTTGCTGCTGTATTCACAATAGCCAAAAAAGGAAAAATAGCCTAGAGGTCCATCACGTGATAAGTGGATAATGAGAATGTGGTCTATTTACACAATAGAGCATATATTCAGGGATTAAGAAAAATGAAACTATGAAATTTGCTGATAAATGAATGGAGATGATACAGCAATTCACCCAGGTCCAGGAAGACAAGTATCGCCTGGATCCTCTCATTTGTAGATGTTAGCTTTGAACTTTCAGGTGTTTCCATCTGCAATACTCACAGAGGTTAGTAAGTTAATTTGGGATCGGGGGAGTGTTTTTCAAAGGAGGGGAGATAGAAATCAGTGGTATAAAGACTTGAAGAGGGATAACAGAATAGGAGGGGCTAAACTGGGGGGCAGATAGGAGAACAGGGTAAAAGTAGATAGTACAGAGAGGGATAACACTAACAACTTTTCCAAAAGGTCCTATGGAAACTTACTGCTTTAGAGGCTTCCTAAAAAATATATATACATGTTTAAATGCAGTTGCATACAACAGAACAATGATATTCCTACTGTATATCATAGGCTAACAAATAAAAAGCCCAGTGCCACCTCTTTTGGAGTTAATGGACAATGAGCTCCCATACACACTCCCCCAAACAATACAGACTATTGCAAATGCTCTTGGTTACCCTCAAGAACTTGGTAGTAAGATTCTATTGCTGAAGATACCACATACTTGAGTCTAGAATACGGAAAAATCAAGCTGGCACTAACCTGGAAGTTTCAGCCTTACTGACTGTCTTTCATAGTGCTGGAACATGCTAGAAAAGTTATCATCAACCTTATCCACTTGTGAATTCTGAGAGGTATAGTAACAAACAGCCTGGCAAGGCATGCCCCCTGTGTAATAATGGCACAAATGTCATGGGAATAACCAACCATCTCTGTTCAGGTTTAAGGCCCACTCCATCACATGAAATCCATATCTGGTATCATTATCTGGAACAATAATCTGTTGCTAGACAGGTCATAGTTCCTAGGGAGGGGGGGTATTAAATGGACACAGTATTAAAATGACTCCTAATGACTTATCAGTATGCCCATAGATTATTTCATCTCTCAATGCTCACCAGAGAAGCTTTTTCTACAATACTTAGAATTAACACAAAAACCACAACTGGTCAGGACTGCAGTATGTTCTGCCTTTGATGAGATGTGTATCACACTTCCTCCAGAGGCTCAGGGACTGTTACAGAAGAGAAAGCAGACAGATTGTAAGAGCCAGAGGTGGTGGAAGGCTCACAAGGAAACAGTATCTTCCAGACACAGCATGGCAGTTTCCCATGAAATCCCAGTGGTTATGATAGCATACGTAAGATCTGTGCAAGCTAAACCAGATAAAATCCCAGCATGGAGATGGAGGTGAGGCTGTCTTTTCTCAAATATGTGTGTGTGTGTCGTGTTTTTTGTTTTGTTTTGAAATAGAAGTGGCCAATAAACATGAAGAAAACACTAGCCTTCGGAGAAATCCAAATTAAAGCTATGTTGAGATTCTGTCTCACCTCAGTCAAAAGGAGAGTCACTAGGAAAATAATAATGGGTTTGGGGAGATGGTTCAGTAGGTCAAGTGTTCACATGCAAGCATAAGAACCAGAGTTCAGAAGTCTATCCCAGAGTGCACCTGCAGTGACATGGACACAGAAAGATAAGTGCTCACTGTCCAGTCAGCCTAGCT